GTAAAGACACGACGGTGCGGGACACACCAATCGGAGTAGGGCGACAGGTCGCTCATCGACAGCCAGACATCTATCGACGGACAAAATCGGCTCCGTGTATCAGGGCCTTTAGTTTACGATACGATAATACTTGAATGGTCAGATCGAGTCTGAAATGCTCCTTGCATCACAGCAGCTCATGTGTAACATCAACAGACATCAAGACACAACACATGGGACAAAGAGCCTTCAGCGTGCATCTGATCTGCAGCTCTGTGTTCACTGAGAGGATGACTGGAGCTCAGAGGATGCTTCAGGCTGACTGGAGCTCAGAGGATGCTTCAGGCTGACTTTATTGATCTCTGATTAGATGGTAGCAGTTCATATTCTCTGTTCAGAGCATGCTTGGGGTCCCAGATGATGTTGTTGGACAGCCTCTCGAGGTGTAGTCCATCAAGACCCTCATGTTTCCCCCGCGGTGTGTTTCAGGGACGAGGATATGGACGGAGAGTGGGAGGCCCCTCAGGTCCCCAACCCATTGTGTGAGACGGCCCCCGGCTGCGGAGAATGGAAACGCCCGATGATCGACAACCCAAACCACAAAGGGAAGTGGAAGTCCCCGATGATCGATAACCCCAACTACCAGGTACGTCTAAGCCCCTCCCCCTTTATCATCTGCTCTCAGATTTAAAGAAACATGCAAGATCGACTTTTTTAGAATCATCTGGTGTTTTAATAATAATTGAAATGTCTCGGTCCTCAGGGTGTGTGGAAGCCCAGGAAGGTCGCGAACCCGGTGTTCTTCGAGGACCTGCAGCCCTTCAGGATGTCAGCGTTCAGCGCCGTGGGGCTCGAGCTCTGGTCCATGACCAACGACATCTTCTTCGACAACTTCTTCATCACCGACGACAGAAGCACGGCCGAGCGCTGGGCCGCTGACGGCTGGGGCCTGAAGAAAGCTGCCGAGGGCGCCGCTGACGTGGGTGTTACTTTAATATCTGGGTCACATATATATTAAAGAAAACAATACATGAGTAAAAACTAAAGTTAGAAATACACAGAAATACTCCATTTCGGGAAAGGGCTTTCTTAACCCTGACCTTAAAAGATGATGTTTGTTTGTTTGTTTGTGGATTAAATCAATAAATAAATATAGAACTGGATGCAGCGGAGGGGTTAATTGTTTACTTCTTCTAAATGTTTGTTGTTTGTTGTTGTCTCCTCAGCCCGGTCTGGCGACTCAGATGTTGAACGCTGCAGAGGAGAGACCCTGGCTGTGGGTCGTCTACGTGCTGACCATCGCTCTGCCAATCATCCTTATCGTCGTGTTCTGCTGCACCGGAAAGGTAACACCCACATACTCACTCACACACACCCACATACTCACTCACACACACCCACATACTCACTCACACACACCCACATACTCACTCACACACACCCACATACTCACTCACACACACCCACATACTCACTCACACACACACACACACCACTCACACACACCCACATACTCACTCACACACACCCACATACTCACTCACACACACCCACATACTCACTCACACACACCCACATACTCACTCACACACACACACACGTACTCACTCACACACACCCACATACTCACTCACACACACCCACATACTCACTCACACACACCCACATACTCACTCACACACACACACACACACACACACACGACGCACTGCACACACACACACACAGACTCACGCACGACACCACACACACAGACGCACGCACCACACACACACAGACGCACGCACACACACACACAGACGCACGCAAGACGCACACACACACAGAGCACGCACACACCCACAGACGCACGCACACACTCACAGACTCACTCACACACACCACCACGCACTCACACACACCCACAGATCTAACACCACACACACACACAAACACCACACACACCCACATACTCACTCACACACACACACATACTCACTCACACTCACACACACACACACATACTCACTCACACACACATACTCACTCACACACACACACATACTCACTCACACACACACACATACTCACACACAGAGACACACATACTCACACACAGAGACACACATACTCACACACAGAGACACACATACTCACACACAGAGACACACACTTAGACACACACACACATACACACACTCACACACACACACACACACGCACACGCTCAGGCACACGCACACACACACACACACACACACTCAGGCACACACACACACACACGCGCACGCACACTCACAGACTCACTCACTCAGAATCAAGTTTATTGCCAGGTGCCTTTACACATACATTAGATTTTATGAAGGAATAATCCAACTGTTGATTTTGTTATCTTCCCAATAGTAAGGTCAGATTTGGTTTATCTGAAAGCTCGAGATTTGTTTTAAATATCTACATTTTAAACTGAGATGTGGTCGTTTTTCCTGGCGTCGGTCACACATGTTTTCAAGCCGGGTCTGAAAATGGAACATCTGAGTTTTTCTGTTTCTACCGTTTCTTATTTCCATAAATGGTTCAATTTCGGCCGATTTAAATAAAAAAAAAAAAACCTGCCATCCGTCACACATGGGCGTTATATACGGGGTCATTTTGGCATTTATTTAAGATGTGTGTGTGTGTGTGTGTGTGTGTGTGTGTGTGACTCCACAGAAGTCCTCAGGATCAGTTGAGGGTCAGTTGAGTCTGGACCTTTTTACAGGAAGAGTTAAAGAGGTCCGGACCCCCGACACCGACCCTCAGGCCCGGTGACTTTCCTGTTAGAGTAGACCTGTGGTGTGTTTGTGTGTGTGTCGTAGTAGTGTAGAAACCTTTACACACCTGGGAGCATTTTAATGTGTGGGAGAGAAACTCTAGCGCAGTGTTTCTCAATTTTTTTTCTTACCAAGAAAAACACTCACGGACCATCTGACTCCACACATATCCAAAACCAATAGGCCTGCTTACCGCTCCAACAGTACATAACAGCCCAATAATGACAGCTTAACCTTCTCTATATCGCCTCGTTCACCACAATAAATCAACAACTACAAATACAACTACAGATTATATAAGCATTTAGTTCAAATGTGATTTAAATGCTCTCAGGTTTTTACACCTCTTATGAAATGTAGACCTACATTTATTACTGAGTTTATGTCCGAGCCAACAGACCTCTCAGATCGTTGGCTACTGAGAGAAATGCTACATACACCTGGGTACGACACATAAACCTCAAAACAAAATACAGTAAACTTTGGTCGCAGACCGAGTTTAACTGAGGTCTAAGCCATGTTTTCACACGTTAGGCTCGCCTGGGGCTTTTTCTGTAGAGATGCTATTAAAACATGAAACCTTGGTGACCATCGGGCTGGCCTGCATGGTCTGCCTACGAAACTAAAATAAAAAAACATTCATGCAGCCCCAACAACAGCCTCTGATCATCAACAGACTTCATGCAATGCTTCATTGGATGCATATATCAGATAATAACCTCTATCTCAGTCCTAACATCTAAATCTACTTCCAGCATGGATAAATATTCATAAAAGACATCCATTGTTGTTCTATATGCTTCTTGAAATCCTAAAAAACACATCGTTTTTCTAGAACAAATTACAAATCGCCTGAAATGGTACAAACAGTGGCAACATGTGTGACGAAGGTGTTGCGCTGGGCTATATCACGCAATCGTAAGTGAAACTTAAGCTCGCTCCATCGCTGGAGATATTCCCGCGAGAGTACGGAAAACTTAAATGTATTTATTTATTTCAAATGTGAAATTTTACCAATATTCTCACGGACCACTAGGGGGCGCTCACGACCACACTTTGAGAAGCACTGCTCTAGAGGGGGTTTTAGCACGACACACTACAGGAGAGGGAACACCACAAAAAGCAGAATAGGGCCTCTTTAATATTTGTACATGTTTCTGCAGGAGATTTTTGCACAGCTTGCTGCCTTTAAGGGAAACACACATTACAATATCTAAAAGCAGTTTCATAGATGTCTTGAATGCTCAGCAGTAATCTAAGGTACCAAAGATTAGTGTAAAACAGAAACAGAAGATGCACAATCCTTAATACAGACCGTAGTTTGCTTTAGTGTCAAAAGCAGCACTGTTTATTTACCTAAGGCGAGACACTACAGGTGAATAGGGTCATTTTTTTTACTTAAAGATATCAGCTAGAAAGTTCTCCAGTTAATTACTTACATTAAGACAATTGTTTTTGTATTACAAGTTTTCTGAAATAGCATGTTTAAATATGCAAATGAGCCCTAATCTCATTAAATATGCGCATATTTTAATACATTTCAGGAACACTGAAATCACTCCGTAAATCAGAAATAGTGCACACAAAACAAGTGAAACCAAATTCAAACAGCTTTTAGTGTTTTGAAAATAGATTTCTATGTGAAAACGTTAATTTAGATATTTAAAAAACAGCTGAACCTTTTCACAAACCAAAAGAACCAAATATTGGTATTAAATATATAAAAACAGGCACAAGTCTTAGTTTTTCTGTCTCAAACGCGACTCTGAAAACGCTTTGGGAGGCTGTGAGTTTCTGAATCTGAACTGAACATATCTCCTGTGTTTTTCTTTGTTTCTGCAGAAGAAGACCGGAGAGACGACGCGGCGGCCGAATACAAGAAGACTGACGAAGCTCAGCCTGATGTGAAGGAGGAGGAAGAGGAGGAGGAGGAGGGGGAGGAGGAGAAGGCTGAGGAGGAAGAGGAGGAGAAGGAGGAGAAGGAGGAGGAGAAGAGCAGTCCAGGTAAAAAACAGATTAGATTAATAACAGTTTATGTGGTGGCTCAATTCCCATTTAAGTTTTAGGTCGCATTCACACCAGCCTTGTTTAGTCCGGTTCAATCGAACCCTGGTGCGTTTACCCGCGTAAAGTGCGGTTCGTTTGGGTCGGTGTGAACGCAGTCCGAGACCTCTGAAGTGAACTAAACCGGACACACACACACTGGGTTCAGTTCGTTTGGGTCGGTGTGAACGCAGACCTCTGAAGTGAACTAAACCGAACTCTGGTCCGCATAAAAGAGGTGGTCTCAGAGCACTCGCTAGTGAACTCTGGAGCGGTTCATCGCTGGTGTGAATGCAGTCCGCACCAAATCCCCTCTGTGTAAAGAGACTCTTCACACAGAGGGGACACATGTCTCTTCTACAGATTTTGGCCACTTTATGATGTCATCATCATGTCTTATCACCTGAATCTCCTCCTAGAGCACCATTGTGTTCTTTGTAACCAAATCTCTCTCAGAGGGGCGTGGGGAGGGGCTCCTTATTTCATCTAAAGTAACAGACAGAGAATCAGCACTTTGGAAACAGGGCTGAAACAGAGGGGATTATGGGTAATGCTGCAATGATCTGTTGGTGTTTCAAGCCAATCAGAGACAGGCTCTGTATATATCTGAGACCTGTGATATATTGGTGAGAAACAGTATAATAGGGGACCTTTAAAAAAGCTAATATTAAACTCAGGCTAAGTAGCATTTTGTCTCCTACAGTTCATATTGTATTGTATTTACATGTTGTGTCTCCCTCTCAGCTGCAGAAGGAAAGAGCGACGGAGAGGAGAGTCCTGCAGAGAAGGAGGAAGAGAAGGAGGAAGAGGAGGCAGAGAAGGAGGAAGAGGAGGAAACGGCCGAAGAGGTGAGGAACACTGAATCACTGAGTCACTGTGATGATGCATTCAGGTGCAGTTCATTTGTTTGGTCTGTAGCACGGAGAATGATTTGATGTGAATTGGTTTTTCAGAAAGCTTCAGAAAACAGCCAGGAAAGTGAGTTCTCCACATGACTCTGACTCAGACTTTCCTTTCTGAATATACTGTATTAGGACCATTGTAGGGATTAAAGAGGCCAGTTGATGTTTTTGTTAAACAGTCTGGAGAGGGGGGTCAAATTCCCCCCCAAAAACAAAATAAATGTAGTTTAAATTTGTGTATTTTTAAACACAGAAACATGTAGATTAGTGAGTTGGATTTTATAGAATTTCTGGATTTTCTTTTTACTTCAAATTCTGTCTGTTCCCGAGTTGTGTGGTCGGTCTGTTCCCGAGGGTGTGTGTGTTGTCTGTCATGTTCGATGTGTGTCTGTGTCTGTCTGTTCCCGAGTGTGTGTTGTCTGTCCCGAGTCGTGTGTGTGTTGTGTCTGTCTGTTCGGTGTGTTGTGTTCTGTTCCTGAGTGTGTGTGTGTGTGTCTGTCTGTTCCTGAGTGTGTGTGTCTGTCTGTTCGTGTCTGTTCCTGTGAGTGTGTGTGTCTGTCTGTTCCTGAGTGTGTGTGTGTGTGTGTGTCTGTTCCTGAGTGTGTGTGTCTGTCTGTTCGTGTCTGTTCTGAGTGTGTGTGTCTGTCTGTTCCTGAGTGTGTGTGTGTCTGTTCCTGAGTGTGTGTGTGTCTGTCTGTTCGTGTGTGTGTCTGTCTGTTCGTGTGTGTCTGTCTGTTCCTGAGTGTGTCTGTCTGTCTGTTCCTGAGTGTGTGTGTGTCTGTCTGTTCCTGAGTGTGTGTGTCTGTCTGTTCTTGTGTGTGTGTGTCTGGTCTGTGTCCCGGGAGTGTGTGTTCGTCTGTTTCCTGAGTGTGTGTGTCTGTCTGTCTTGTTCCTGTGTGTCTGTTCGAGTTGTGTGGCTGTCTGTTCTGAGTGTGGTGTTCTGTTCTCTTGATTGTGTGTGTGTGTGTGTCTGTTCTGTCTGTCTGTTCGTGTGGTGTCTGTTCCTGAGTGTTGTTGTCGTTGTGTGTGTGTGTCTGTCTGTTCGTTGGTGCTGCTGTCTGTCTGTTGTGTTGTGTCTGTGTCTGTCGGTTCGTTTGTCTCGTCTGTCTGTCGTTGTTCGTTTTGTGTCTGTCTGTCTCTGTTTCGTGTCTGTCTGTCTGTTCGGTGTGTCTGTCTGTCTGTTCGTGTCTGTCTGTTCGTGTGTGTTGTGTCTGTCTGTCTGTCTGTTCGTGTTGTGTGTCTGTCTGTTCGTGTCTGTCTGTCTGTTCGTGTGTGTTCTGTCTGTCTGTCTGGTTTCGTGTGTGTCTGTCTGTCTGTCTGTTCGTGTCTGTCTGTCTGTTCGTCGTGTGTGTTTTTTTTCACCAAACAATCTCCCTTTTTTATCTCCTAATTTATTGAACTTTACTCATAACATAACAACTTAAATCTTTGAGATTCTGAGGTTTTATCTCACATTGGGACTTTATTATAAACGCCAAATTTGATCTGTTCTCATTTATGTCAAACTTTAATTTTAGGGATTTTTAAAACACAATTGTGTCTTTGTAATTTTTTTTTTTTTTTTATAGTTGAATTATTGTAAACAAGCGGATTTATCTTTATAATTTTTACCCCGCCTCCCCAGCTCCTTACTTATTCTAATTGTTTAACCCCTCAATGGCCCTAATACACTTTCCCATTGACCCCCATGAAGGATTTTAACCCCGAACTCTCTCTCCGTGCAGAAGCTTGAGGACGACGTTCTGCGGAGATCTCCCAGGAACAGGAAGGTCAGAAAGGACTGAAATCTCTGAATCCTGACCTCAAAAACCTCCCCCCTCTCTCCCCTAAAATATCTCCCCCGACCCTCCCCCTCCTCTTCTTCGAGGCCGCAGAGCCGCGAAGGGAAGCAGCGAAGCCGACAGGAAACTAAAAAATCGACCTCCAACACGGACGCCCTGCTCACACGACGATTCCAGGACTGAGTTTTAGCGTTTAAAGGATTTATTTTGTTGTTTTTTGAAAAGAGATTAACTAAAGCTTCCTGCATCATTCCTTCACAACAACACCTGAGCAGAATCAAACTGGCGGGATCAGCGCGTCCCGTCCGCCGCGCCGCCACCAGCTAACAAACTCCGCCCGACAACAGCATGCTAATTAGCTCAGCAACTTCTTAATAACTCCTTGAAATATAGCTATCGACAGCCAACCAGTTAGCCTACAATCTGAGGTAACCGCCTTCCTGTTTGCTGATAATTAGCCTGCTAGCAGTGTGCTAATGAGGCTAACAGCAGTCTGAAATGTATAAACAAAAAGTCTTCCCGAGTTAGCTTACCAATGACAGCTAGTTAGCCTAGCATCAGCCTGCTAATAATCTTTCAGGAAATTGTTAACAAGTCTTCTGACAGACAGTTTGGCTTTCAACTGAGACTAGTTAGCCGCTATCCTGTTTGAGCTAGCAACAGGCAGCTAATTAACCATCTATCAGGATGCTAATAAGGCTAACAGTTTGAATTCACCACCAAAATGTCTGGCTAATTAGCTCATCACCAGGGTGCTGATGAAGCTAACAGTAGTCCGATTGATCGGCCAAAAATCTCGTCAATCAGCTCACCAACAGACCGCTAATTGCTTGGCTAGCAGGTAGCTTGTAAGCTATATGAATATTCACCGGTTAGCTGTTGATTTATTAGATTTTTGGAAGATTTATCATCTACAAATGTTGAGAGAAATCACTCACCAGAACTGTTGCTAATTAGCCTTGTAGCCTGCTAATTAGCTCATTGGTAATTTGGCTAGCTGTACTCCAATGTGTACAATAATCCCACTTGAATTGAAAACTAAAAACGGGGCTTCTAACGAGTTTACCAATAATTTAATTAATTTACCAACAAGTAGCTTATTAGCCTGATGAAAAGCTAATTCACCTACTAACCGTTGGCTCGTTAGCATTCCTAGCTTTCAGATTAGCTCGAGATTAGCCAGCATGCTAATATAAAAAAAATAATGACTGCTGATATATTTTCTTTTTTCATGTTCTAATTTCCTTGTCATTGAATCGTGTTTTGTTTTAAAGCTGTTAGCTCCATGTTAGCTCACACACATGTTTTCCTCAGATCTCCTGATGTGTATTATTGTCCTGATGGCAGCGCTGGAAGGTCAGAGGTCAAACTAAAAAGAGCCTTTGCAGCAGATGAGCGACAGATGGCAACGTATTAAACCTCCCGTTGCTTCACGCGGCTGAATAACTACAGCAATACGGCCCAAAATAACCCGATTTATTCACAATAAACGTATCTAACAGATGTTTTCTGAATGGAGTTTGGTCCTTCAGCGCTATGCTAACATTGTAGCATCTGCATATGTTTATACACCCAGATAAATCGTATTAAAATCATTATTCTCGTCAATTTTATTCGTTATTCCTTTAAAGGCCTTTCTTTGTCCAAATAAACATGACAGCAGCTCGTTGGCGCGTCCCATCCAATTTAAAGCTCCTTTCAGATCCAACTTTTCTTGGTACGGTGTTTTTAAACGCACCTGTATTTACCCGTCTTCTACATCCAACCCACCCTTGTAGCTTCTCCTGTAAATCTCCGCTGCTGTCATTTAGATGTTAACCTCATCCCGTGTGCAGGTGGACGGACTCCCCGCCCCTTTGTCATGTTCTAAAAACCAAATTCAAAAGAAAAACTGCACTAAAGGGGGAAACCTCAGGCGCTTAACTCTCACCTGTCCACCTGCATCTCTCACCTGCTCCACGTCAAACCCCAAGTTTTCATAGGAGACGGCACTTGAGCGTGACAAACCTACGGATACTAGTTTGATAGAAATACCTTAGCTGGCTTTTCTTTTGCCAAATTAATAAACTTTATCCACGAATTAAGACCATGGGATGAGGTTCCAGAAAAGTCAAGTGAAATCAAACAATTTCTCAACATTTGAATCACAATTATTTGTTTATTTTGACCGCCGTTGAATCTGCTGTAGTTACCTGTACATGTTTACATGTCACGTAATGATGTCATGACAATCATCATGTGCGTCGTAATCTGCTGCATTTAAAAATAACTGGCAAAAGGTAAAAATGTATTAAAAAATCTACATATGGGGAAGGGAATTGGGGTGAAATCCTGGAGGAAAAAAACGTAGATTAAAATTGTAAAATGACCACAAAAAAAATAAAACTGACATAAATTCTCTGAAATAAGAAATGTAAAATTAAAAGACAAAATAATAATTATATCTGATAATATTTGAGTATTCAGATTCCCCCCTTCCTGCCCTGGTTTCATAATGAAACATTTGACCTGCAATCCCTCACCTTTACACCTCCTGACCGTCTCTCTAGCGCCCCCATCAGGACAGTTTCTCTCCACATGAGAAATAATCCCATGAACCGTTAAAATGCTAAATTATGTTTTTTCTTTATATATTCATCATGAAATCATCCTAAGGATTATAATGCAGATGAAAGAGCGTCATTCTGCCAGTGTGTGTGTGTGTGTGTGTGTGTACAGTGAAATAATTAAACCTGGTTCTGTGCGTGTTGAACGTGTGTCGGGATAATAACACGATGTCCAGTCTTCTTGTATATCCATGTCTGTAATCATTGCGTACAGTTTTCTCCGGACTGAAGAACCTGTTGTTAAATTCAGAGCTTTTTGCTAAGTTATCGGCGGGGGGGGCGGTGGGGAACATAACAGCCGAGTCTGTGGCTGATTTTGGGGCTCGAGGTGAACTTGGAGGCTTCCACAACCTTTAATTATTTCCCTCCTTTTTTTTATTTTTTAGTCTAAATACAAGCTAGTTGGCTGTAAACTGATGTTTTTTCTAAAATAAAGTAAATACTAGGATCATCTCCTCCAGCAGCAGCGTTACATTCCCATCCGAAATGTCTTCAGCCTATTTTTTATTATTTTTTAGATTTATTTCTGTGTCCGGCTGAATCTGCCTAGCAACCGACTGTAGACTGAACACTGCATCTGCTGGTGTAACGTTTTATTATTATTTTTTTTCAACATTTTTTTTGTGTTTTTTGAACTAAATCTTTAATGGTTGTCCCTGCAGCCTGTTTCTGATGTCCACACTATTGTAGAGAGATACTGTGATGATGGAGCCTCGTGTGTGTGTGTGTGTGTGTGCGTGGACACACAGTCTACATTTGTTTTGATGAATAAAAAGGCCAAATGGAAACTGAACCAGAACTTGTATTTTATATCAGTATGTAGTGTCTCTACTTTAAAGAGTCCTCCTCCTGCTGATGTTCAGGTGTATATCAGTATGTAGTGTCTCTACTTTAAAGAGTCCTCTCCTGCTGATGTTCAGGTGTATATCAGTATGTAGTGTCTCTACTTTAAAGAGTCCTCTCCTGCTGATGTTCAGGTGTATATCAGTATGTAGTGTCTCTACTTTAAAGAGTCCTCTCCTGCTGATGTTCAGGTGTATATCAGTATGTAGTGTCTACTTTAAAGAGTCCTCTCCTGCTGATGTTCAGGTGTATATCAGTACGTAGTGTCTCTACTTTAAAGAGTTAAGTAGGTTTTACAAATAGAATGATAAATCATGCATTAACTTAAAGAGTCCCCAATTAATTAGGATACAAGTATTCACAAACTTTCACAGACAAAATATGATTGTTATTTATGATTCACTGTTTATTAATTACTTTTGATGACATGTTTAAAAATGTAGTAGAATTGGGAGGGATGAAACCCTCTTTAATGGTCTCACATGCAGAGCCCACAGCACACACAGTGACATGTGTTCTCTGCTTTTAACCCATCCTAGTACCAGGAGCAGCTATTGAGACTGTTAAAAAATTGAACTGTTGAAACAACTTCAAACATTCAACTGCTACTCAGTAGTATGTATCTAATACCTAATATATATATATCATTCCAATAACTTGTATATAGACTCATACTGCACTATTCCACATCATAACTTTATTTCATTTTTATAACTATTATTATTTTTGTATTGCTCTTGCTCTTATTGTTATTGTTATGTTATTATGTTGCATTGTTGGAGAAGCCTGTGACATAAGATTTTCAACTGCATAATTACTCTGTAGCTATGTCAGATTGACAATAAAGAACCTTGAACCTTGAACCTTGAACCTTGTACAGCGCCCGGGGAGCAATGGGAGTGAGGGGGGAAGGGGGTTGTACGGTGCCTTGCTTAAGGGCACCACGGCAGGGCAGGAGGTGAACTGGGACCTCTCCAAGTAGCAGTCCACACTCCATATTTTAGATCTGGCCGGGGACTTGAACCGGCGACCCTACGGCTCACAGTCCAAGCCCCTACTGACTGAGCCACTGCCGGACATAGTAGTGTCCAAATGTGTATTTTAAATGTAAAAACCTTTTCTCTGCGAGGAACCGTGAGATTAAAGGGATTAAAATTCAAGAGAAAGAAATAAGAATTATCTTTTCATTTTGGATAAACTGTGGTAAGTTTTACGAAAGAAAAAAAATCACAAATGCATTAAAATAACCCAAAAATCTCTTGAGTATATTTACATTCAGAATTTTCATTGTAAATGTAGGAATGGTTAAGCTAAATATATTATTAGTATTAGTTTTATCAGTTATATCGTTACTCATTCATTTCTCTCTGTTCACATCACCGCGTTCCCTCGCTCTCTATTGGCCGTCTGTGCTGTCAATCACCGGTGGGGGCGGGCTCAGGGACATTCCTCTCCTGTCTCTGATGAAAAAAAAAAAAAGAGAAAGTTACCAAGATGGCGGAGAAGCCCTGCCTGTCCGCTGGATAACAATAGAGACAGAAACAGAAGGGACGCAGTTTAGCCCGTTTTAACCGGACTAATCCGCTCCAAACTGCGCGTACAGACCCCGATTTGGGCGGGGAGGAATATCCGGGACCGTGTGGAGGAATACATATAAAGTATGATGCTTTATTTAGACGTTTCAGTCTGTGCTAACTGAGCTAATGTTAGCATTTTTCTACAGAGAAAGTAACTAAATATTACTTAGTGGAATGCTCCGTTCTGATTGGTCAATTCGGACAAGTAACTAGTTAGATTTACCCGAGTACTGTACTCAAGGACAATTTTGAGATACTTGTACTTTACTTACCATTTTTTGGGACTTTGTATTTCTTCTACCCCACTACAATTCAGAGGTAAATATTGTACCTTTATTCCACTGTATTTAAAGTATGATGCTCTATTCTGATGACTGTTGTTTATGAGGAATTTTATCATAACAAGATTATCCCTGAGAACATTTGAAGTCAGCATTTTTCTTGTAAATGTAGGACCTTTTGGTATCTTTAACAAACATTACTGTTATAGATGTGGATGAATGATGTGAAATATAACCAAGTGTTAAATCAGACTTTAGTTCCACCTGGAGTAAATCCACAAGCTACCCTGCAGTATACAAAGTCATTCAAACTAGCTGCACCTTTACCAGCTTTGAGAACACTTTCATGATCAATCATTATAAAACATATCATATATATTATTCTGAAATGGACCAATCTGCACAATGACTGCTTTTACTTGAGTAACATTTTGATGCTAATACTTTTCTACTTGAGTAATATCATGAATGTTTACTTGTAACAGAGTATTCCTACACTCTGGTACTGTTACTTTTACTTCAGTCCAAAATCTGAGTACTTCTTCCACCTCTGGTCGCAGTGCATTCTGGGAAACGGAGTTCTCTTCTGCCCGTCTAACCAGAAAACATAGAGTTAGCAGCTAACGGCTACAGGGAGGCGGAGGATCAGCTGTTTTCTAGACAGATGCTGTAAGAAAGGAGCCACGCTTTCACAGTAAGTGAGTTTAAATAACATTTTCTGTAAGGTCTTGTTTGTTTTTATCGTATCAAATAGTGGTTTTAAAATGTTGTTTGTTAAGTTGCTAACCAGCGAGCTAACTAGCCTCTTGTTGCTAGCCAACCAAAGCTAACTACTTTTAATACTTCGGACACAAATAAAAGTTTGACACAAGTTAGAGACCTGTTATGATGCTCCCATTGAAGGTAATATTGTTTTAAACAAATGAGGGGGACGTGGAGTTAAAGTCTAACGTAAGATAGTGTCCGAACAATGATTTAAATAATCGTTTTTGAGGATTTTTCGACGCTTTGATTTGTGGAGTGGAGGAATGCTGCTAACTTCACTTAGCTTCAACGGGAGTTTGTTTGATAACAAGATATCGCGTTATTTCATTGATTTAAACAAATCGAAAGGTTAGTGTAAATTGATGGTAAATTGGTGTATTTACTATTAAACAAGCAGGGATTTTGTTTCTGTTGTTTGTGATTTGGGGTTAAACTCAAAAAGTGGCTCTAACAAGACTCCAGTTGTTTATACACACAGCGAGTTAAACTGGCTGTTGTGTGTTTTAATGATAAATAAGGTTTAAAGTGAGTTAAAAAGAATCAGCAGGCTGGATGGTGTTGCACTCAAAACCCTTAATTTTCCTCCCCGGCAGTGAGTGTGACTGAAGGCCATTAGCAAGACAAAGGTCGCCTCCATGGAGCCAGCACAGGAGTCTTTGTAGAGGGGGGGTGAGAGTGGTGGTGAGAAAAGAGCCAGATTCAGCATTTTTATGGACGAAACCTGAGACGGGGGAGTTTTTTTTTTCGTTTTTTTTGGTGGAGAGAGTCTTTTATTGATGATGGCGGATTTTGTTACACCGCGACACAGCGCGGTGATGGAGAGGCTCCGCCGGAGGATCGAGCACTTCCGGCAGCATCACAACAGCTGCGAGAGCCGCTACGACACCGCGACGCTGGAGCGGCTGGAGCACGAGCGCCAGCAGACCTTCAACCTGCACCAGAGATGTTTACAGGCGAAAGCGAAGCGGTCCAACAAGCACCGGCAGCCCCAGAGCAGTGCCGGGGAGCAGAGGGAGCAGCAGGCCGCTCAGAGGGACCAGGGGGCCGGCCAGAGGGTGCAGGGAGGAGCCGGGGGAGAGCACCAGGCCGCCGGGGAGAGTGGAGGCAGCGCGGCGGAGCAGAGCCGCAACAGCACGCTGATCGCGGTGAGTGAGAGATCGATACACACACACATGCATACACTACTAACACACTGCAAGCTGCTGCTGGAGCATCACTAACACACCGTTATAAAGCATTCATCTATACAACTAATATATATTAGGTAGATTAACCCATAGTAGAGTAAATATCTTTAGTTCAAACAACAAAATACAATATCAGAATCATGTTAATTGCTCATGCTAGGAATTTGTTTTGGTGTATAGTGGTGCATTCATAAACCCAGTAAGACCAAACCACAAGGTCATTTACCTAGAAATGTGCAGATGAATTCATAATAAAAGATACATTTTATTTATCTTGTTTGATGGCATGTGAGGGAGTTCTGCAGTCGGTCTGTGAGAACTTCCCACAGTAGGAGTAGCAGCGCTGCAGTCAGCATGTCGTTGAGTCCCTGGGCAAGGCACTTCTCACAGATTGCTTGTGGGGATTTCCCACAGTATTGAATGTATGTTAGTCGCTTTGGATAAAAGCATCTAACAAGGGACATGTGAACCCAGTCGTACCAACAATACTATCCCCTTAAACAGCCGGTGTGTGAGAGCTGAACACACTTTGATCCGACCCCTCAAACTGCTCTGTTTACACAAAATAGTAATACTTTATTCACTATTTAGGTTACAGTTTATCAGTTGTTGTTCACTGTTGTTGTTATGCATTGATCATAATATGAAATATCCTTAAATGATGTCTCTTGTCTCCTGATGATAGAAAGTGTTTTTTAGACAGTTTGAAAACAGGATGTTAGTGAAAAGATGTTAATCTTGTGTACAGTTCAGACTCTCAGGATTACCTTCAGTTGACTAACGGACCGTCTCCACAGCAGCGTTAAAAAAATCTTGGAGGTGGGCGTATCTGAAGCTTGGGGATTTTTTGCGAACAACCAATCACATGAATCTCCCGCCCGCGACATACGAAGCAAAAAAGTTTGAAGTAAACTGGATATAAACTCCCCAAACAGGCGAAAACCTACCACTGTCTCTGCCACCTCCCTCCATGCCTGGCTCCTCCGGTTTGTATCCCGGTAGGTAAATAGGGACTGGTCATAAAGCACCGGGTGATTCCCTACCGCTAATTTCTCCTCCATGTTTTGGAATATGAGGAAATGACCTGCGGTATGTCTCTCCCAGCATACACGCCGTTTGATTGGCTAGAGCTTGAACTGTCAGATTTGCGTACACGGGATTTGATTGGCTGACGCTTCCACCTCAGCCTCAAAAGTTGAACATTGTTCAACTTTGAATCCTCAAAATCCTGAAAATCTCCGCTCGCCTGCCCACAATGCAGTTCGGCGAAAAGTGAGGGAAAGTGACGTCACCCCATTCAAAGTGAATGGGCAGAAGCGTTTCAAGATTTTTTTAACGCTGCTGTGTAGACGGTCCGTAACTCTGTCTCTGAGAGTCCTGAGAGGTGACTCAGCATCAACAGGAAGCCTCTCACAGCTGACTCATCACTTTTGATCCTAACTGTCAGGAAACAACACACAGGAGGCGGGTCTAAAACACCTCTGTGAGATGTGATTGGCTCCTGTCAGCAGTGATGTCATTCAAATACTATCAACGACACCAAATACTTTATATCAACGACTGATGTTATGATGACTTTTATGGCTTATTTAGTCCACACATAATTCACAATAGAAACTCAATTTGTTTCAGTAACATGTCAAGTACATGCCTTTTTTTTGTGTGAGGGAAAAGCAGGTAAAACAAAAGACAAAATAAGAATTTAACGTAAAAAGTGTTGTGTTTCTGGCTGTTGAATGTCTCCTAAATGAATTACCCATATCATATAATTAAAGGAAGCAGAGGTTAACATGACCCGACCGTCACTAACACTTAAACGGCCAAATACAGCCTTGGAAAACATGTGAAAATAGATATTAATTTTAAAATGTCACAAAAAGTCACATTATTTGATATCTAAAAAGTAAACATTAAATATATATATTGTTTGGAGCTATGTGGTGCTTTTGACTAAGGTTTTTTATTTATATTATGGATTAATCTGCTGTTCATATTCTAGATTACTGCGAGTACATCTAACATTTTTACATTTGACCGCAAAAACATGGTAAAAAACTGAACTGTGAAACAAGGATTTAATCGCAATAAATCCATCTTTAATCCTTGAAGCCCGCCAGAAAGCATGCCTCTGATCAGCTGACGTAAACACTGGAGATATTTGAGATGTTTGTGGCCGAGCGAGAGCCTGAGTCAGTCTGAAGGTATTTAGAATCTGTATTCTCTGTAATGTTAAATATGCAGAGTTGGCAGTTTCAGCCACAACAGAAAACCCTCAGTATCTTCTGAGCAGAATCACGTTGCTCACCGCTCTGTACCAAGGTGTTCTTTCTCTTTTAGAATGAATGTCTATAAAACATCTTGTCCAAGGCTGTAGCTTTCTGTTTCAGACGGTCGTGGTGTTTTAATCTAGTGTAAGAACAAGTTTTTAGAGAGTACTTGTCCATGGGCAAGTGAGTTTGGCAATTTACTTGTCCGAATACATTTTTCACTTGTCCATAGCTATACTTTGTGCATGCTGCACCTATTTTAAATGTTATTGAATATCAACATAAAGCATATGTTGGGTTACTGTCACTAAGGTAACATTTCATTGTTTATTTGTTCATAGGGTTAGGGTTAGAAACATGCTATACAAGAATTATACACTAGTAGTAGTGTCTGGTTCCTCAATTTCTACCATCAAGGCACATGAATGAATATCAGATATCAAATTAAGATAAAACAACTAAGTACTATTGATATAATGTTTTCTCCTCTGTGGGACTAGTAGACCATTTACATTTCCCCACGGTTTTACGACACCGCTAACTAGGGATGGGTACCGAGCCCCGGTATTAAACGGGCCCGGCTGGGGCTGAATTATTAAAGACCGTGGTACCGTTAAGCTCCGACGTTATCTGTCTTTTTATCGGTACTGGAGACATTTAAAATATATGTCATATATCTTTTGCTACACAAACATTATATTGCAGTTTTAGTGTCGCCAACTCCGTTTCTAATATGCAATAAGACTGCAAAATGTGTCCATGACGTATTTTCAATCTTTCCAATCCAGACGAGAGATTACTCCCCCTCTCCCGTCTGTGTGCGAGGGGGTGGGGGAGTTACACACACGCGGCTGCTACATGCATGCATGCACACACACACACACACACACACACACACACACACACACACACACACACACACACACACACACACACACACACGGAGGAGATGGCGGAGAGAACTCACTCCGAGGTGTGGTTAAACTTTACCCGTCTCGATGTGGACAAAGCTCGTTACCTAAAGTGCAATAAGAGTTTAGCATGTCAGGGCGGTAACACGAGCAGTTTGTCTAAACATTTAGCAGAAGTGCTCCACATCCAGACGGAGAAATGCACCGACTGTCTTTCTAGTAGCGCTGTAGCCCCATCCACGAGTAACGTTTCCACGTCAGGTGTTATGTATGCTAGCAGCCACACACGGAGTTAACTCAATGATACAAACATGGGTTAATGATTAGAGGGAACTGAGTTATTTATTTAGTTAAAGTTTCAGCTATTCTGTTCACAGTTCTGTCATCACATTATTTAATACGATTTGTTAAAACATTGTTGTTTCTTTTGATGTGAAATATTATGTATTTAATTTTAAATAAAATAAAAAATAAAATCAATTTGTTTAGTTAGTTTACCTTTTTTCTCTCTCCAAAAGAACCGATAAGAGTACCGTTAAAAGACCGGATCGATAAGCGGTATCGATAAAAATAGTAGTACCGTTAAAACCTTAACGATACCCATCCCTACCGCTAACGTAAGTGAACGGTAAGATTTCACTGCATCACATGACAAAGAAGGAAACGTAAAGCGGACAATTTGCGAATGAGTTCTGCCTTTTGTAAACTGAATTTATCAATCATTTGTCAATAAATATGGGCGAAAAACGTCACTTGTCCGTCGGACACGTCAATGGAAAGATGTACTTGTGAGAAATTGTAAATAACACGTCCCGGACGATCGGACGTGTGCTTTTTCGCACACTGTAATCTCTCTTATCTATCTGTGTAATCCAATAAAAAGAGACATTAAAGGTGGGGTAGGTAAGTTTGAGAAACCGGCTCGAAATACACTTTTTGTTATATTCCATGGAATGCTCTTAACATCCTGATAGCAATGAATATCTGAAGTGCTTTGACAATAAATACATTAAAAAATATCATCTGTGGAAGCCGTAGTACTGTAAAAAGCACGACCAATCATTTTAGCCGGCCCGGCTAAAATAACTGGATGGCCTACCTGCCTGTCAGCCTTCCATCTGTGCACAAACTTATCTCGTGCCCTCATTGGTCATGTGCGCGTTCGTGTGTGTTGGAGGAGGGGCTCTGTAAGGAAGTGGCAGATTTTTTCCGGCTGTGTATTTTCAAATTCTAGCGCACTCGAGCTGGTTTCTCCAAAATGACCTACCCCACCTTTAACTGGCCAGAAACACCAGCGTGATACTCAGTACAATTTGTTCTGAAAATATATGTAATTTAGTCGCATCAATTAGTGGACTGTCGGAGATCCAAGAAATATAAAACACATTATTATCATTATTACGGATCAGTAGTAGTAACACACAGCACTGTTATTAATGAGAGGATAAGAACAGTATGTTTCACACAAAGAGAAAACAAGATGTTTGTATAATAAAATCCTCACAGTTCTGATCTATCCATTAGGAACAGAAGGTGCTTAAAATTACAGAACCACTTCATTTGTTGAATTTATTCGGTAGCAGTTTCCTCAGAGAAGTGATAAAGAACATAACATTGTTAAACTACTAAGAAAGGTATCAGTAGAAGACGTCAAGGACTCCATTTCCCAGAATGCCACTGCATTACTCAGGGCTTTGTGGCCTCCCTGCCGTTACTATTTTGTAGTTCTGTCCAAATGTAAAGTGAGAATAATTATAATTCAGTATCCCACAATGCATCG